ACACACACACACACACACACACACACACAAAACACACACGCACGCACATACACACTTACTCATGTTTCGTCACAAACAGCAAGACTGTAAATCAATAATAAGAAGAATATCATTAATCATATTAGGCTATAATATACTTTGTCTATTAGTTTACGGAACTGTTGACTGATTATAATAATATTCGCCCGTTCAGTTTGATGCAGAGATCAAGTGAGAGGTGGACTACTTCGATCCGTCCGCCAACAAGAGCCAACCAGGACGGAAGGTGGATAGAGATAGAGTGTCCAAGCAGTAAACGAGATACTAGATGAAAATTTAGACTGCCTCTAGATCTAATGGGAATCTCTTTCTTTTCTTTCTTGGTAGATCTAAGTGTTTTACGGCGTTCGCAACTACATAAGGTATTATTAGCGCTCGGGACACATTAAACATTTTCAGTTGGTAGGAAATTTTGAATTGTACCCATGGCGGCCGAAACCTACTCCTATCGATTTTAAACCACAAAGGGGTCTTTAACGTGTGCCACTTGCTCACGGGTCCTCCGACTCCGAGGTTTTCGCCCCTGTTCGAGGAGGCTAGCTGTAGATCTTTCCTGCACGAAGATCAGGGGTGAGGCTGAAAGACTGCAATAAGAAAGAGCCAAGGAGTAGCAGTAGAAATTTAAGGCTGTAGAAAAGAAATACTAGATTAGTCAGGAGCCCAGAGGAGGGGACAAAGGAGGTGAGGGGGTGGGGGGCAGAAAGTGGAGACGAAAGCAGACGACAGTACATTGCTAAAGAGCAGGAAAGGAGATGAAAGGAGACAATTTTAGAGAAGAATTTTTTTTTCTGTCGCTACCTGGATTCGAACCCGGGACCTTTGAATAAGAGGCGAACACCTTAACCTTCCCCCCCCCCCCCCCCCCCCCCCCCCCCATCCGGGCTACGAGAGCCCCTTAATGGGAATCGAACTCACGTGTTTTGAGTAAAGCCTAGCAGCTAACAGACTCAGCGCGACCATTGAATAGTTGTATAAACCATTAATCGATATTGTTTAATCTCTGTCCACGTAAAACCGTCGAACATAGAATTAATGATTACATGTTAATTGGTTTTAACGGTCCCACGTTGGAAACTGACGACAGGTTCACACAGTAATTTATCATTAAGTGTAACCCAAGGAGGCTATAGCCGATAGCCTACACCTACACGTACATATTTTTGATATTTTAATAGAACTTGTAACCCCTCGATGGACAGCGATTCGAAGGCCAGCGGTCAGTGATATCATATTAGGTCACGACCGGACACGCCGTGTTCATTCCTTGCATTAGATACATTCAATTAATTCATAAATTATTATTATAGTGCGTCCACTGGGCACTGGGAATTTCTACAGTAATAAAAAGTAGATCTACATTTCAAATACATTTACAGTATCTTATCATCATCGTGATCGATCGATTGGGAGGGGGGG